CGCGTGTGGCTTTGAATTTTCACGGTGATGTTCAACCTGCGGTTCACTCTGTAGTGTTGCTTTTTGCTCATTTTTTGACAATTGAGCTTTTTAACAGGTCAGGTTCTATATTCTACCCGGTGGATTGATGCACGAATTTTATATACTTGCTGGTAGCCACAGTCTTGTTCGCTGCGGACGCTAGCGCGTTTCAGGGAGGCTAGATTGACGCGGCGTCAGTTCTTTTTCGAATTTTTGAGCTTCACCAAGCAGGGCTCCTCTGACGCGCCCCAGCGTCCGCAGCGAACAAGACTGTAACTAGTTTCAATGCTGAAAAGCACAAATCCCTCATGCTTCAGGTTTGGTATTCTTTGTTTTGGTTGTGTTTTCTCTGCATTTTACGGTAGCATGTAGTGTTTTGTATCAATAAAAAGCTTCATTTATATGATCTCCGTTGACCTATCCTCAGAAAGTTTCAAGGAAACATCTCTGCCATGGGGTACGAGTGTAAAGGAAGTCGTAAAACTAAAGAAGGGGTCTGCTAGCAAGAGCAAGACATCACTGCGGCTCTGGTATCCAACCACTGTGATGGATTTGGCAGTCACGAGCGTTGCGATGACGTTCACAAACCCAGGCTAGCTGACACACCCAGCACTAGGGTATGTGACAAGACAATCGTAAAATACCGCGCTCGTTGACGCGCACGACAGACGAGTTGTCGTCTCAACGGTTTGAATCTGTGTATTAAAGGGATGGAAAATGGAAAAAAATACAATATTATCAAATTTCGTGTCCGCTTGAAGTCATGTGAGATTCGCCGTTTCTAATCAACAAACAATGCCCATATAGAATTTGCACGCCCGCGGCACGCCGCACAAGACGACGCGACAAATTACAATTGTTTTGTTCGTCTACCGTGTCGCTTCCGCTCATTTATTAGTCTCAGGATATCTGTCAACCTTCGTTTTTCCTTCCTCCTTCTTTCTTCTCTTTCCTTCCTGCTCTTATCCCTCCTCCTTATTTTCTTTTCTCTGAATGCTTGACAAGAAAATGCGATGAGAAAACAGCTCTGGACCTTCGCAGCGAGAGAGCATCCGGTTGACAGTTGCCTTGTAACCCTTACTTAGTTCTTGGTGCAAATGCCGCGCACGTTACGGCAATTGCAGAGTCACGTCGCCGCGATGTAAATCTTCCTGTCGAGTTTTTTTTAAAGGACATGTGATTGTGACTTAAGGTCCCACTTAATACTATGTAAGCCGCCCATTTGGTACATTCGCATCCCCACGAGGTGCTTGTGTTGTACTCTGAAGAGAGCAGGGTGGGATTACGCGAAGCTCAAGCTTAACTGCGAAGCTTAAGAGAGGAACGCGCTCGGTGACGGGAAAGAAAACACTGGTTGAGTGGAATTAAGTGCTGAGATAATCCAACTAGCACTGACTACTCATGTTATCCACCTGATAATAAATCTCCCAGCCTATAAAAGTTTGCTGAAGCGGTGAGAATCCATTTATTTGTTCACAAGCATGACGTGTACGAACGAAAGCTGTCAGCGAACGAAGATAGCTGTCACCGCCGTAGTGGCGATTATTGTCGGTTGGGTAGCCTATTCGGCCTATGAAGCCAAAAAGGTTGGTGCTTTACCAGAACAGATGGGTTTGCTCATGAAGCTTCTAATTCCTTGCATTCCAGCGACGGGACCAGAAATGGCGTCGTGGCTTCTGAGCACTCTAAACATGGAATTAAACTGTAAAAGCCGTCGACGTCATGCCATAGTCTTTCTTTTGTGTGACAGTTTTCAGCAAATGTTCTATGCTTTGTTTCCATTTTCCAAAGATCCAGACGAACATAAATCAATAGATTTTTGTAAATGATCGAATTGTAAATAAACTGCTCACACGGATTTCTGTCGTCAGTGCATATCAAAAATATTCTCGATCATTCAATGATCTCCTATAGCCCGTTTAAGCTCGGTCGTTGGAGAAAAAATCTGAGAAACTGTGGCCATGATCGTGGCTGGTTGAAAGAATGCGCCCCGAACCAGTGCCTCATCGCCAGTGCCACCTTTTGGGCAGGTTGCGGCGTGTGCGCATCAATACTCCACAGTGAAGAACTTGAACGGCAAGTTGCTAATCGCTGCCAGGTATAGAGAGCAACCATAAGTGAGAGTGCACAGACAAGTAGCGCGTTCGGTTATAGTTATAAGCAGGGCACGGCACCGTTGTGATGATCATAAAGGAGGGGGTCGTATTTGACCGCGAGGGAGGGGGGTCGTATTTGGTCGTTGTTGGGAGAGGGACTGCCAAAGATCTATACAACTACTATGATAGTTGAAAATGATAGTTAAATCCTGACGACCTCCCCCCCTCGCTCGACGGAAAATTCTTGGCTGAAAAACTGGAAATTTTTCGGGAAAAAGTGGTAGGAAGTTGGGAAAATCTAGGAAAGTGGTAGGTAGCATGGGGAAATAGGGGGATCGTTTTTCAGGAAGTGATCACAACGCGATGGCGTGCCCTGGTTACAAGTGTGCTTGGTCGCGCGGCATGTTGTGTGTCTGCACAATTCGCTCGTGGGTGGAGTCCGAAACAGCCTCTGGCCATTCGCATCGGCAACATGAACGACTGAATGTTTTAGAAACGCAGATATACAGCTTAC